GGGCGGGCTTTGCTGAGGCCCCAGCTGGGCAGGGGGTGGCGGGGAGCCCCGAGCAGCCCCTGGCAGCGGGCCGCGGAAGGCTGAACAAGCGAGGCCGGGGATTGGGGATAATCCCCGTGGAGGAAGCCAGGCTCTGGGGGCACACAGGGCTCCAGGACGAGGGTGGGGAAGGATGCCCACGGGAAGGGGTGGCAGGGGGCCGTTTTTGCCCTATGTTTCCTCACTTGCCCCAGCCTTGAGCGCTGGGGCTGTGCCAGTAGGTGGAGCGTGAGCAGCGCGCTGGGAGAGGCGCTTGGGAGACCACCTGCTCCTGCCCCCAGCTTCCTGCCTGTCTCGGGATTTATCCTGCACCCCTCCCCGCCTCACTCCGGGTCCAGTTTGAGTTTGACTTTAAATCACTTCAACCTGAGTTTATCAGTCAGCCCGGGCCACAGACTTGGGGGCCCTGAGCCTCAGTTTCTCCCCCAGTCCGGAGGTTTCGTGAGGATGGGTTGGGGCAAATACAGCCTGTTTACCTTGGCAGGGGAGGGAAGAACTTCCAGAGGAAGCCATCTTAGGGTCTTGGGGATATTGGTGAGAAAGAACAGAGCCTGGAAAAAGAGAACAGAGGTGACAGGCAAGGCCACAGGTGGAACTAACGGAGCAGGCTGTCTCAGTCTCCCTGTAGGACCAAAGGTGTGTCCAGGCCCTGCCTACCCAGCAGCTGGTTATTCTGTTGCTTTTCCCACCCAATTAGGAGGGCAGTTTTTGGAGAAGAGGCTGCAGGATGCAGAACCTCTATATCTCCAGATCATCTGAAAAGCTCAAAGCCCATGCAGGGTGGGGTGGGCCTATCGAGCTCACTCCGCCTCCTCTTCCCAGCCTTAGGACCACGTGTGTAGGGTTTGCTTTGGACTTAATGCAGAAGTGGAAAAAATGTTGCTTTCCAGAATTCCATATTTCTGTAACCGCTGCCTCCAGTCACTGCTTGTCTTAGGGAATCCACCGAGCTACCTTAACCCTGGTGCTTCTTGTCAGGAGGGATGGGGCGGAGCAGCTGGAAGGCTGGTGGGCTGTGACAGTCTCTCAGCACGTGTAGAGCGCCCTCTACCGGTGATGCTAGTGATGCTCAGGAGCCTTAAATCGCAAAACACCTTTTCTTGATAGTTTTCATTCCTGACCTGTTTTATGGGCCCAGCACAGTGCTGAGCCCCCTGCATGGATAGCCTCCTTTAACAACTCTTATGAAATGAGAAGTGTTAGCCCATTTCACATGAAAACAGAGCCCATCCAGGCATGGTGGTACATATATCTTTAACTCCAGCACTTGGGAGGCTGTGGCAAGAGGATTGCCATGAATTTGAGGCCAGCCTCAACTGCATAGAAAGACATTGTCTCAAAAAAAAGAAAAAAATCAAGGCCCACAAAGGGGGTGTAATTTACCTAAGGTCCTGCTACCCAGCTTCCTGGCTTCATCTCTTTCTTCCCCTTGTCCCTCAAGAAATACTTGTCAGGTTAAGGGGCAAAGGTAAGGACATGCAGAAGGATTGTGGAGATGGCAAAGATGGTGGGTATGGAGAAGGGGTGTGGAGAACCTGATAGTGGCAGCACCTTGACCTAGACCTGAAGAGACAGGTAGCTTGGTATTTGCAAGGGGTGGAGGAGACAGCTCGGGCTACACCACGTGACCTCTGTTGGGCAGTGTGGCAAAGGCAGCTGGTTACACACAGATTGCGCTTTCTTCTGGGAGCCATGAAGGGCACGGAGCCAGGAAGATAGCTTCTATTATTCCCTTTCCACACTGGGTTTAATAACTTGCCGGTGGTCACAGTTGACATCGGGAAGCCAGGTGCCTTAGCCTTTCACGCTGTCTGCAGTGCACACTAGCCCTCGAGGGCTTGCTCATCACCCAGGCCGTGCTGCAGTAAATACGTTAGCTGCAGTTCTTTTTAGTTCACCAGGAAAATCCAGGTCCGGATTTTAATGAATTTTTAACCTCAGGGAGAATTATGGCTCTTACATGTTATTAGAATAATATTGAGAAAGTATAAAGGAAGAAACTTCTCTTGTAGAAATTTTGGGATGCACAATTTGGAAAGGAATGATTTGTCATAAGCCCAACCCCCTGGGGCACGCTGGATATGAACTGAGTATTTGCTGTGTCCAGGCAGGTGCCAAGCACGTGCCACCTGCCATCCAGTGGTCACAGATATCCTGTGGGAGGTCCTGTTCTGATTGTACCGAGGGAAAGTGAGGTCCGGGAGGCTCTTCCTGTGTCTCCATTTGTCCACGCTGAACCTAGTTACAGAGGCAGGGTGCAGAGAGAGTAAACCCCAATCCCAAGGGCCAGAAAGAAAGGATCTCCTGAGTACAGCACTGTACAGTGGGGATGTACAGCAATGAGGCCCTGGTCTTTACCCTATGTTTGTCTAGGAAGGGATATTAGGGGCTCAGCCCCTGGGGAGCATTGGGATCCCTCAGCATCTGTCCTGTGTGCTGCCACCTAGTGGCTAGAGGAATTGTAACCCAAGCAGCCCTAGGTGATGCCAGCCTGGGCCTGGAGGACTCTGACATAAGTGTTTTTCAGGGGGAGTGAGGGCCGCCTTCTCAATGAAGACATCCCCACTTGATCAGGAAGTCAGCAAACACCTGTGCTCGGGTTGTCAGATATCCCCTGGGTACTGGCTAAGCACCCAGCTCTGGGGAGTAGGTGTTCTAGTGGCCCCAAAAGACCCTGCGTCAGGGTCCAGCTGTGGAAATATGTCTTTCCTCAGCCACCACCATCCCCATCTGGATCAAGGTGGTCACAACCTAACTAGATCCAGGGCATGTGTATGTGAAAACCTGAGGTCCCCAACGAAACCTAAGGTCCGCCATCACTCAATAGCTCTGCCCACTGGAGTGTGGCCCACAGGCATCCCTCTGCTTCCACCCCATGTGTCTTCACAGGCTTCTGTGGCCTAGAGAACTGCCTGGGCACAGCTGGTGCTCTGCAAGGGCCAGGATGCTATCCAGCCAGGTGTCGGGGCCACATTGGCATCCCACCCTCCACATTTGGGGTCTGCTCCCTGGCTGGGTTCCTGTAGGCACCCGTATCTCCTGTGTTGCACTAAATCATTCTGCATGTCTCTGTCCCCCCATGAAAGATCACAGCCCCTTGCTGGAGGTTATATCTAAGCGGAGCACAGCTTGTGTGACCTTGGGATACCCTTGTTCCATTTGGGGACCTCTGACACAAGGCATGTTGGGACTTGGAACCTTTTGAAGGCCCTGCTGTACCCTGGGTCTCCCATGGGGGAGCAGATGAGCTGTGCAGAGCCCTGGGGCTTTGGAAAGTCCCCAGCCCTGGAAAGAACCTGAGACTGTTTTCCAGGCTGCCCAGAAATCTTGCCTCAGTCCTACCCACTGCTATCTGGGCATAGAGATGTGATGTAGTCAGGCCACTTACACGCCTGTCCCACCAAACTCATGCCTGACCAGGTTGGATTCTAGCTCAGGCTTTGGGGTACAGGCTCTGGAATCCACTAACCACAACTCATTGTGAGCCAGGCCCAGGCCACACAGGTGAAACAGACCCAGAAGGACATGCACAGGAGCTAGGAGCATGGAGGCGGGGGCTGGGGGCCGAGGGCCTGTCCAGAGGTGAGGGTCACCAAGAGTCGAGTCGGAGTGGGAGGTCAGCCAGGATGAAGGCAGAGGGACATGGAACATTGGGGACACTGGGTAGGGCTAGGTACCAGGGGAGCAGCAGGGACTCGCCCTCTTTTCTATCACCAGGAATTGGTCCCTAGAGGGATCCCAAGCTGGACTGGGATCCTTCCCAGAGGAACTGACCAGTGCCCTCAGCAAGGGCTGCCCCTGGGTGTTGCATCCTGATTGCTAACACTGAACAGGCAGGCCGGGGTGACCCGAATCTGTCCCCAGGGGCCCCAGCCTTCCAATGGGGTAGAACAAGACTTGAGTCTTGGAGTTGGGCCTGGCCCCCGCCTTAGGCAAGTTGCATCACATCCCTGGGCCCATCTCCTCTTCCAAGTTGGAGTTGTGGGCGCCACTGACTCGCTTCCTGTCCTCTTCATGGACTGAGAGACCCACTTAGGATAGGCTCAGGTTAGTGGGAAGCCCTGAGGTCCCACCCTCGCCCCTCTGCCCACAGGCCCGGGCCCAGGCAACAGGCAGCCGCCCTCCGCATCAGTGATATGCATTTCTCTGTCAAGCCGAGCGCCAGCGCCTCCTCGCCCAAGCTGCACTCCAGCGCGGCTGTGCACAGGCTCAAGAAGGACATCCGCCGCTGCCACCGCATGTCCCGCCGCCCCCTGCCCCGTCCAGATCCCCAGGGAGGCAGCCCCGGCCTGCGCCCACCCATCTCTCCCTTCTCTGAGACGGTTCGCATCATCAATCGCAAGGTAAAGCCGCGAGAGCCCAAGCGGAACCGCATCATCCTCAACCTGAAGGTGATAGACAAGGGCCCAGGTGCGGGGGGCACCGGGCAGGGCACCGGGGCACTCGCCCGCCCCAAAGTCCCCTCGAGGAACCGCGTCATCGGCAAGAGCAAGAAGTTCAGCGAGAGCATCCTGCGCACGCAGATCCGCCACATGAAGTTTGGGGCCTTTGCGCTCTACAAGCCCCCTCCTGCCCCGCTGTCACCCCCACCCGCCGGCAAGCCTGACCTTGCTGCTTCCCCAGGCCCGGGGCTGCTCCTGGCCACCCCCACGGCCACCTATGATGCCCGCAGCTCCAGCTCCTCTGGCTGCCCCTCGCCCACACCTCAGTCCTCCTCCGACCCTGATGACAGGCCCCCCAAGCTGCTCCCCGAGACCGTGAGGCCCTCTGCCCCCGAGTGGCGGGAGCCTGAGGTGCTCGACCTGTCCATCCCTCCTGAGTCGGCAGCCACCAGCAAGCAGGCGCCTCCCGAAGTCACTGCTGTTGCCAGCCAGGCACTTCCCCCAGCCCCAGAGCCCACTGGTGCCGCCTCTGAGCCGGAGGCTGGGGACTGGCGCCCGGAGATGTCACCTTGCTCTAATGTGGTAGTCACCGATGTCACCAGCAATCTCCTGACGGTCACTATCAAGGAATTCTGCAACCCTGAGGATTTCGAGAAGGTGGCGGCTGGGGCAGCAGGTGCCACAGCGGGGGTTGGTAGTGGGGTGAGCAAGTGAGTGGCTCCCCTGGGAGGGAGTGGGGGGGGCCTCCTTTCTGAAGTCACACTTGTGCTCCCACCCCACCCCTGCCCTTAGACCTGTCTGCCTGTGCTTTGCTTGTCTCAAGTGGCTCGGTGTTGACCCAGGGATGGGGCTGGTAGTTGGCCCCCGCTAAGGCCAGCAGGTGGGGCAGTTCTGGACTAGGTTAGGGCGGGGGCCAGCAGGGCACTGAGAAGTGCTCCTTTGTCTCTTGGCACTGTCTCTACCCATGCACAGTGGGGCCTGCTGGGTGGTTTCTGGGGAGCCCCAGATCTGGGGTTCCCCTGCCCCATCCATATCCCACCCCGTCGTCTCTCCCCAGCTTGCTTCTTGCTCTCGTGTACAGTGTCTGATCTCGGTGCTAACCCGGCAGCTGAGGGGCCCTTCGGAGACCCCCACCCAGGGTGGGCACAGCCCCTTTCCTTCTGCCCATTTGGCAGAGTCCCAGACAGAATGAAGGACGAGGCGACATGGGCTCCTCTCTCCACACCAGCAAGCTTAGCAGCCACTTCTGGACCAGGCCCATGCAGGCCCCTGGTGCCCACCTCGCTTTTCTGAACCCCTCTTGAGGGTGGGAGGAGCTGACAGAATGCACCCTGTCACCACCTCTGGGCGTCTAAAGCCCTTTCAGTTCTTGACCAAAGGTGCTGCAAGAACCTGCTGTGGGGACTCCAGCCGTCCATGCGTGCGTGTTTGTCCGTCCTGAGCGAGTGTGTACGTAGGTCTGTGTGTGCATTGGGTGCTGGGTGCCATCCTTTCCTGATGGCATCTTTACACCTCCTCGGAACAGGGTCCTAAAGGCCTGGCCCTGGCCCACCTTAGTGGAGCTTGGTGTGGCCAGGTCTGTACAGTCTGCTGTGGGAGCTCCAGGCCTCCTCCCAGCCCAGAGCACTACGGGCAGTGAGCCCTGGGCCCCTCTCTGCAGTGGTCAGCCTGGCCAGTTGGGCCTGTCCTGCAGTCATGGCACGGTGGGGACCGTCGCAGAGAGCTCCTGTTCATGGCAGCCTGTCCTGCCCAGTGGTCAGGGAAGAAGGAGGCGACCTTGGGGACTTCCCAAGCGTCTTTGGCTTCTCCCACCCCCTCTTGGCTTCCAACTGCCAAGGCTTTCTCACAGCCCAGCCTGCTCAAAGCTCAGGAGGCCAAGGTACCCTGGACAGCTTCCATTGCCCTGTGCTGCCTGGGCACCAAAGCCTCACTTTTAGGCTGGGCACCAGGAGGTAGGCAGACTGAAGGGGAGAGACCACATGTTCAAGATGGCAAGGGGATCGGTCCCACGGGTGGACCGGCCTACTCTCGGCCACTGCCTGGGAGGTGGGCTTGGGTGGCACACTCCTGCGTGTGGCTAGAGCTGGTTTCTAGGAGTGTGCAGCCATGGGTACCATGTTCAGAAGCAGGATGGCGAGAGAGAGATGAGAAGGGAACCCGATCAGATGACCAGCCCCTTGGTGCTTACAGGAGGATACTCTGGAGTCTTCCTGTGGGGGCTGCAGCGTGGCCTCACCCTCCTCACTGCAGGGTATTGAACAGGGGTCCTCACAGGGTTTTCGGTGGTGGCGCTCCTGGGCCCCTCCCTGCCCCGCCCTTTGTGCAGGCCTTGTGACCGTCCAAGTGCCAATTGGCTTCTCCCCCAAATAAGGGCTGGTATTTCTCCTCTGTCCCTAGAGGTGATTTCCTCCTGACCCCTTCCCAGGTGTGGCTTACCTGGGTACCAGTTACAGGTGTTTCCAGAGACCATAGAAATGTGTTTTCCTGAGAGTCTGTGTCATTGGTGACTTTTTGTAAAGAAGTTGTGTTTTCAGAGGTGATTTTATGACAGGAAAGTGAAAGAATTAGTTTTGCAAAAAAAAAAAAAAAAAAAGGAAAAAAGGGATAAAAAAATGAAATAGAAAAAAAACTATTGTGGGATTCCTAAGGGAGCGGGGTGGGGGGAGAAAGATATTTAAAGAGAACCTAGTAGCGTGGCATTGCACAGCCAAGGTGGCGAGGTTAGGGAGGGGTGGCCCAGGCCCACGGCTGTTGGCAGCATGGACCCAGCCTGGCCACTGGCCACCTCTCCTCTTTGGTTCCAGGCAGGTGAGACTTCCCTGCCAACCTGGGCCAGACTTCCACACCCATCCTTGTCCTTGCTTGAAGGGAGGGGCTGTAGCCTGTCCCAGGGGAGCTGGCCCGAAGCTGGGGTGCCAGGCAGATAGAGGCCGAAGGCTCCAAGACTGGGGACCTAAGGGGGTCTGCAGGGCCCTCCCATGGCTTGTGGCTGGTGATTTTCTCCAGGAAGTCTGGTGAGTCCTTGCTCTCTTCCTTTTGCCAGCTTGTTGGTCCCTACCACTGCTATCCCATAAGGGGGGCAGCTCCCACATCACCCCAAAGACCCTGACATCCCTGAGCTTCCCTGGCCAGGAGAGGGATGCAGGCTGCGGAAAGCTGTGGGCCGGGGGAGACTGTGACTGGGGTGGTGGGGAGAAGGCATTGCCCATCTCTGAGGCTTTCCGGGGGCCGCACCACACATGCACAGTGCCTGGAGGCGGGTGCTCCCTGGGGGCTGGGTGGGCATGGAATCTCCCAGGAGGTGCAGCGTGGGCCCACACACCCTTGACCACACACTTGCACACAGATCAGCCTCCTGTGGGCCCCTTCTCCACCCCTTGCTGCTTTTCCATTTGCCTAATTACCAAGCAGAAGTTGCAATCTGGTTTGCTTTATTTTTGTATGTGAAATGACCCCCAAAGCCCAATCTTCTGAGTCTAGTATTTTGCAGGCATCGGTTATCTCCCCTTAAATGCACCCTCCTCCCTACCCACGAGTTAGAGGAAACAGGCGAAGTCTGGTTCTCTGGGTTGAATAGGAAAGTGGGGGCCCATCCCTGTCCCATTTCCCCTCTGACCTCAGTCTGCCCTCTGTGGAGGTGGTGATCTGGGCAGCAGGGCCTTGGCTGAAGCACTGCTGGTGTCTAAGGACAAAGGGTGCTCCAGGCTGCTGGCCCGGGGCTTCTGGGCACCCACAGCCGCCTTTATTCAACCCTACAAAGGGGTCAAGTTAGAATGAGCCTCCACCCTCTGACTGGGGAAGAAGTGGTGATCTCCGGCCTCTGGGGGAGGTGGGCAGAGTGGGAGGGACCGTCCCATTTCAGAGGCAGCTAAGCTGCTTCCCTGGGGTGATGTGGCAGGCCTATAACCCACGCTGCCTGGCCTTTGGGGAACCCCTTCAAAAGATGGGGACCCCAAGGCCACCACAAGGCCGATGCCAAGCTGGGAAGCCCACAGCTGGAGGGTCAGCCCCGGGGGCTGGGCTGCTGCCGGCCTTTCCAGCCTCTCTGGACACCCAAGAAGATACATCCCTTTCCTCCCCCCCCCTTTTTTTGTTTTTTTGTTTGGTTTTGGGGGTTTGTTTTTTTCTTTTTGCACTTCGCTCACGCTGGACAGTGGAGCCCTGCCTGGCCAGTTTCACTCCCAGGCTCCCATGCACTAGCCCAAGGCAGCCTCTTTGGGGCTTGTATGGTTTGAGGAATCACTTTAAAAAAAAAAAGATGTTTAAGGGTTTTACTTTCTGCTCTGTTTGCATCTCCTCTCAATTCAGAAAGCCCAGGATGAGGGGCCATAGCCCCAGGAGAGGGCTCTCTGACCCCCTTTCTTGCTAACACTGAGATGTGGAAGTTGGGAGCCAGTTGGGTAGGGGTCCCAGACCCCGTCTCAAGCCTTGAAGGAGTCGGCTCTCCGCTCCACCAGAGAGCGCGCCTGCTGTATGCAGAGCATCAGCTAGGCTTGTAAGCTGATGTTCTAGTGGGGGAAGCCGCTCCCTGGGGCCAGGTGGGAGGCACGGAGATCGGCCAGCCCTTTCTTGCTGTTGGGTGCAGGGGTGATGGAGACTTCTGTTGGTTTTAATTTAAAAACACAAAGGCCTGAAGAAATATGTATCTTATAATTTTTTTAATTTTTGAAAAGCTCATTTAATGAATTGTGCACGAATGAATTCTATATATATAAAAATATACGTATATAGCTCTATATTTGGGGAGGGGCACTGTCTTTTTCTCTCGCATTTTTAAGATGAAGTGTTGTTGCCTTTGTCTGTGGTTCAACCATCCAGCTCCCAGCTGGCTAAACTTTGCCTCCAGTGGCTAAAGATGGGAACATGGTAGGCTGGCAGGAGGGAAGTGGGGATGGGTCCCCAGTTTACCCTGCCCCTCCCTGGTGGAGATGGACGGCTTATTGTGGGTGTGGGTTGAATTCTCTTGTTCCGGGTTCAGTGACTTCTGAGCCAGGCGAGGGCGGGTTCGTGCTGATTACTCTGTCTTGTACGTTTTGTTCTGCTGCTCTTTAATATTGTATGCCAGGAAAGGGGAGTGAAAAGCCTTTTACCCCCAAATAAATTGTCACATTCCAAAACTACTGTCCAGCCCCCAGAGTGGGATGCATCTGCCTTGTTTTTTCTGCTGCGACTTGCTCATTAAAAAGCATTAGGTCAGCCAGGCATGGTGGTGCACGCCTGTAATCCCAGCGCTCGGGAGGCTGAGGCAGGAGGATCACTGTGAGTTCAAGACCAGCCTGGGCTACATAGTGAGTTCCAGATCAGTCTCAACTACATAGGGAGACCTTGTCTTA